TTTACTATTTTCTTTTTAAGTTCAGTGACACGGTGAAGCAACATCTGAGGCTTTTAACTTGAATTTACTTACAAATGTGACTCAAAAAATTATTTTTATTTGCTGTGATTTCTTTTTAAAACTGAAAGATTGCAAAAATAAGTGTATTTTTGTTCTGATTATCTCCCAGGTTAAATGATGGTTTTCATATCTTTCAGATAGTGCTCAAATGGTTTTAATGATCCTTTCTTGCTAGCTTTGTGATGCTCTCCTCATGACAGCATCCTTTGGCAGAAGTTTGTCACTGGATTTACTAATCAACTGTGTTATACTCTGTCTGTGACACACTTGCCTTTTCCTTCAGCACCAGTGGCACCCAAAATCACCTCTGTAGAGTATTACAACCACCTTCTCTACGTCACCTGGACCTATGGAGGAGATGGCCCTGACCTTTCTCATTCCAGGATGCTGCACTGGATGGTTGTTGCAGAAGGAAAGAAAAAAATCAAGCAAGAGTGTAAGTATCAGTGTGGAAGGTGGGTGGTGTTCATTTTTGTGTGTTTTTGTTTGGTTGGTTTGTTTTTCTGAGTTGATAACATAAGAAACCTTGACAACTCTGATAACTTTGTATTACTGAGTTCCAGCAAGTTTGGTGGAAGCCAGTAAAAGTTATTTCCCAGTGTTAGCATGTATTTTGAAACACTTGAGGTCTCAAAACAGCCAGTGGACAAAGTGTTTCTTTGTGTGATCCAGTGAAGGTGTTGATGATTTACATAATTTAAGAAGAGCTTAAAAACTTTTCAGCTTCAGACAGTAAAATATAAAGAGTACTCTTATACACAGGTATTATACTTTTCATTTTTATTTATTAATAAACAGAGTAAGCTGCTGGCTGAATTTTTTTTGTTTGTTGAAGTATTGTCACTTCACTGAGTTATCTTCATAAATTCTGTATTCTTTATTTTATGTTTGAATACGAGTTCCACTAATTGATGGGATGAGGATTTCACCCAGAATGTGAGCACTCAGAAAACTTGCTAGATGCTAAGGTGTGCTCTTAGTGCAGTCTCTTTAGCATTTGGAAAATTGGAAGTGTATTTTCAGCAGAAGTGCAGATTGATCACTGATTTTCATGTGGATTTTTGTGGAACATCCTAGCTTTCATTAAATTCCTTGTGGCTGTGAGAGTACACACATCTGAAGCTTGTTGCAACATGAATCTAATTATATGATTAGGAGAATTGATAATCTTTCTGAGCAGCAGGAGCTTTCAGGATTTGGATTCTTACTTCAAACAAGGAAGAAAACTAGATTTTAATTTTTGTCCTACAAATAAAATATTCTATCAATTGAATTTAATTAAAATATTCACAATTATATACCTCTCTTCCTTCAAAAGGCATGTTTTCTGTAAATTTATTATTCTTTCAGGAAAAATCTGATTTCTCTACCATTCAACTTCATTGAATGCAAAAATTGTAGATTAAATAAATATAGAATAAATGTTTAATGTGAAATTTAAATAAATTAAAACAAAAACTGAGTTTGTAATTCTAGATTAAATAAAAGATTAAAAGTAGAGGGTATCTATAATATAGTATATCTATATTATATATACTATAGATATATATACTATATCTATAAATAAAACTTCAAAACTTTACAAATGTTTGTCTTTATATTCCTTGTAAGACAGGGGAACCCAGAGAGTATTCTTTAGGAAAATCCTGCAAAAACCTACCTATTTATAGCTAACTTTTATGGTTCTGTTCATATGGATAAATATGGGTACATGCTTGCAGGCATTAGGGGGCATACCTGTTCTCCCAGGCTCTGCTAGTCACTTCCAGGAACTGTTTCCTTTAAAACTCATACTATATTGAAATATCATCATATTATTTTATTATGATTGCTAATATGGTTGTTTTTCTTGTGGCATTATTGAAATAAATAGGTAACACTATCAGCCAGTGTTAATTTTTTCTTCCTGCTCCCTGTGTATTTCCCAAGATTCCACAGAAATTGGCCAGTTTTTAGAGAAGTGATGAAAATTATGTGCAAAGCCCTATTGGGCTTTATTCAGAACTGTCACCTTCTCTTGCATGTGAGAATTAAATTACTTTGAAAACCAGCATGAAATTCCTGGATGGGCCCTTTACAGGTAGTCCAGAAGTGCTCTGAAAACAGTGTGTTCCAAGTTCTGCATCTTTCTCCATGACTCTGGAGAAATGGGAAGATTACCCTAAAATAAAAGGAAGAAGTTATTCTCCATCTTTTGAGACTCACCTCAGTTTAGGATCTGTTTTTGGACTTGCAGATGATTGAAGTCAGACCCTGAGATCTCTTGTCAAGTTAACAGGTCTCCAAGAGGTGTTAGCCTTGCCCAGATGGATTTAATTTTCAGGTCTGTAGGATGCATAAAGGCTTACCTACACATGGCTTGTGTGCCATTCTTTGAGGTGTCTGACCTGATTTAAATTTCTCTAAAATTGCAATAGACTCAAGTCCATGGCTTGTTTAGCACTGAGGAATCTAGATGTTCTCAGTGGTGTGAGGGAGTACTTCTTTTTTCCTTAAATTTTCACTGGTCACAGAGAAAGTGCAGCCTAAAATAGTCTTCTTTTTGCATTGTGCTAATCTGGTTTTGTGGTTGGTATCAGTGGGAAGTGGTTGATGTCACAAGCCTGGAGCACACAGAAGATGTGCTGTGGTGCACAGGACTTTCTCTGTAGTGTTTTGAGTGAGCAGGTTAATTTTACCAGGCAGTTGTGTAGTTTGTGTCGTGTTTAAGCTGGTGTCTCTTAATTGTTCAGGTGACACGCAATGTGATGACTGCAGTGCTGAGCTTGCCTCCTGGGGACATTTACAACCTTTCAGTGACTGCTTGTACTGAAAGAGGCAGCAATACTTCCATGCCCCAACTTGTGAAATTGGGTAAGAAGCTCTTGTTTGTACTTTATTAACTCATCCCACTCATTTGACTGTAAAGTAACTCTGTCAGCACCTTCCTTATTTCAGTTTTGTGCCTCTGAGCCCATTTCTTTTGCAAAGCTGTGATTTTCACCTCACCTTGCTGTGAAGGTCCTCTCATGCCTGTGTGTGAAGCCACTCTCCTAAAATGGTTTTGCTCAAGAGGAGCAAGAGTGGCAAAATTTGACTGTAAGTGGAAGTAGGAGAGTGGAAATTGCTTGGTGCCTTGCTGAGAGAACAAGTCAACTTCACAGTTGGTTGCCTAAGGTCTTGAACACATGTAGGTTTTGAGGATGGCAACTCAGGCTTCACAGATGAACTTTTCAATAAAAAGCAGAACTTTTCTTTCTACCTTTCTGTTTCTGACAAGCCTATTTCTGCACCTCTCTGCCACTTGGTCTGCTTTTCTGTCTCCCCTCCTCTCTCTCTGGACATCTGCAAAGTCTTTCAACACCAAAACTTACCCTTAAATACCAATTAATGATAGTAGTCTTTATAAAAATAGTCAGATTTATGAGTGTAGAACACAGCTTCATTTTAAGAGAAATATGTGTAATATACTCATAGAAAAAAAAGAAAACTTGAGAGTTTGATCCTTAATGTAAGAGTTTCAAATGTAACTTTCTACCTAATATCTTTCTTTACTTGAGAGGAAAACTGGACACTGCACCATTGTACCTTAAGAAATTTTAGTTCTCTTTTGAATGTATGTGGAGTTGTTGAGCCCTAGGTACCTAAAACACTGAAATTTCCAAGTGTGCCAGACTGCTTTTACAGGCATTAGCTCTGCTGAGAAGGTGGGTAAGGAAGAGTTTGTAATTTCAGTGTGGATTATCTTCTCATTATTATAAGATTCTCCATTCATATTATTATAAATAATAATCCTTTTGTGAGTCATTGTGAGAGAAGTGAATTTAAAGGACTCTCTAATTTCTAATGGGATTAGAGCTCTAAAAAACAACCATTGTCCATTTATGTTTCTCAGTATTCTTACAGTGCTGAGGCATTACAGTACAGACACAACAATTCTTGGCAGGTCTTCTTACCAAAGGCAATATTTGAAAGAAGTAGAAAAATTCCATGAGTCTCCTTTTCCTTCTGCAAATCATATCCACTGTTTTCCCATACCCACTGAGAGGGTGAATGTGTGGGGTTGAGTATCATCCCCCACGACCACTGTCCCAAAAGTTTTAGGGTGGTATTTCAAAACACCAGCTAGCTTTATCTTTCAGACAGATCCATAAGCCTTATTCATGTTGTACACCCTGCAGCAGTTGTATCTTCCTGCTCTTTCCTTATGGATGGGCACTCTTACTGAACTTGGATGGATATTTTGCCATTCAGTGTCAACAAAGAGAAGGAGGAATGAATTCCATTTCAATGAATCCCTTCTATGTGGGAATCCAGAGCTTCCCTCTGGCTGCCCTGGAAGGTCTGGGACCCTGGCAGGGGGTCAGAAACCCCCTGTACAGAGCCCCCAGAGACACTGTCTGTTATCTCTGTCCATGGAAAAGAGTTTTCAATCTTACAGGATGAATTACAAGCTCTGAGTGTTTGATATAAGTAATAATTAAGTGTGGCACAGGTGCAAAAGTAAAATTTTAGGATTCTAGATTAGAGGTTCAAAGGGGACAAGATGGAGGAAATTGGGTGTGCCTTGTCCTTTTCTCCTTCTTCATGCCCTCCATGTTTCACTGCAGTGTTGGCATTTTTCTGTTGGTTTAGGCTGGGGACACACTGTCCAACGTAGGTGACAGATATTGGCACGTTATTGTAAATCCAGCACAGGTAGTTTCTGGTATATAATGTTTGTACCATCCCACTGAGGGCAGAGCCCCACACGCTGCCCTGCAGGACTGAGCTGCGGCAGGGCAGCAGAACATGTTAGAGATAAACAGAATAAACAACCTCGAAACCAGCACAGACAAATTATGGCTTCTTCTGTGGCAATGGGGCAGAAAGACAGAGACTTTCTACAATCTCGGAATCATCAATACCTCAGATTCTGACACTTCTAGACTTTTGGGTGTGGGGTTTTTCATTAGATTGAATTGAATTTTTTTTTTCCCCTTTATGATGTTTGAACTTTGAATAGACAAAAGTGAGGATATTTTGCCAGAGGTTTTCCCTCTCTCTGTTTCTGAGGGGAGCAATGGGAGTTGTAATTAGCAGTAGTGGAAACTGACTCTAAGTGATAGACGACTCAGCACTTGGCAGTCACTTAAGCATTCCTGCCAAATGTTCTTCCCTCCATGATGTTTGCTTCATCCTGGCAGCTTTCCACCTGCAGAAAAATCAAGCCATTTGCTGGAAGCAAAAGGAGGATTTGCTTGGGACACTGCCCAAATGCAAAACTCGTATGTTAATTGAGGCTATTTTTTTACCTAGAGTGAGGGATGGAATGTGTTTCTGAGTCCAAGAGCAGATATATGTGTGTAATTATGGGAGAGGGACACTTTCCTGTGTAGCACTGGGACAATATGTGCACTACAAGCCCCGTGACACACGTGAATGTGCCTCGGTTCCTGCCCAACTCTTTCCATAATGCCAATATGGCTTGGGCAGACTCCAGCCCCAGAACACAGATCTGATTGTTTCAGGATCAGATACATCTCCAAAATGTCTATAACTACTTGAGCACGTACCTTGTGCCAAGGTCCTGTGACAACATCTCACAGAATGAGAATAACAAACTGTGTGTGAAACGAAAAAGAATCAACCCAGAATGTTCTTGTGCATCACCCATTGTATGCAGTGTGTGCAGAATCCCAAAATAGGGTCATTGTTTGAGAATTACAGCTTTAATTAAACATCCACAGAATAGGAGATCTGAAAACTATGCAGAACAACTCAGAAATGTACAGCCCAAATTTTACAATCTCTGAAGGCAAAGCAGAAGAGCCCAGGAGGCCTGAGGTATGGAAAGCCAGGCATTTCCAGTACCCATCTTGTGAAGCCATCAGGATGAATATCAGGATTAAGCACTGGTGTTTAAATAATACTGAGGAGAAATAGTATCTCTCACATTAGCACTATGCTTAGGCCATTGGCTCCTCTCCTGGTCCTCAAGATTTTCCCTGCTATTCTGTGCTCTCCATTCCCCAGGTTGGTTTGGGTGTGGTTACAGTGAGGGGTGACCTCCACAGGGGTCCATGAGCAGGGAGATGGCCCTGGAAGCAGCAGCCAAGGCCACTGGACATTGGGATAGGGGAGTGCACACCCCCATCCATGTTTCACAACATTTCTGATGCCATCACTCCCAGGAGATCCTCCATCTATGACTTTTGTCATAGGGCTGTCCTCTGCTCGGTAGACTCTTGTATTTGTTTGCCTGTTGTCACTTCATCCAGCACAAAAGCAATGAAAATCAAAGTAATTAATTGAGGACCTCTGGAGATCTGGATCTCTGCATTCCTACAGATCCAGTAGCCCTTAAATGTTAGCCAGAGGAAAAAAAAAAGAAAAAATACTACAAGTTTGGTTGTTTTTTAATCTGGTAATTGGCTTAATATTTTCTCTGCTGCAATTAAAGGAACCTAGGCAACCTTTGTTTGTGGGAAGCTGCTTCTTTATAGTCTCCTGGGCAGCCTTGTGAAGAAAAGCCTTCTCAGGCCAAATGTATTGCTAACAGGTGGACAAGGATCTTCTCTGAAAGAGTTCCTGCTAACATTGCTCTATTAATAGAATCTACTGATGATCCTCAAACAAGGGCTCTGCTGAAAAGGGAAGTGAAGTAATTATCCCTCTGTCCAAATAGAGAACGGTTTAAATAGAGAAGAAAAACCAACACACTTCATCATCTTCCCATTTTACAGTGGTAGTTTGTCATCATGAGAGGATTTACACTGGTAGACTTTATCTGAAGGAAATGAAAGCAGGGCGTCAGGCATTGCTTTCAATTCTTTCATTTTTCTCAGCTGTCCGGAAACTTAAAGATAAGATTAATGAAAGGAGATTTTTCTCTTACACCAGAACCAGCCCCTCCAAAATCACTGTTTGCTGTCAACAAGACTCAGACCTCTGTGACTCTGCTGTGGGTGGAAGAAGGAGTAGCTGATTTCTTTGAAGTCTACTGCCAGCAGGCTGGATCTGGCCAGGAAACAAAAGCCCAGGTATGTGTCTCTCTTCTTTGGTGTCCACTCTTCATCACAGAATTAAACTTTTAAAAGCTAAACTATGCTTCAAATACTCAAATTTTTTTCATTGTTTTGCAATATTAAGGTTGACCTCTGTCTTACTGAGGTTACATAACTGTTTGGAGAGAAGCTGTGTGCATCCAGCAGTGTCAGTGGAGTTGGCTACACGTGGAAATGGCTCTGATACACTGCAAAACCTAACTACGAAAATAAGGGAATGCCAATGAGCAAGAAGGGAAAATTGGTCAGGTAGCTTCATAAGGAATGGGTAAAATAGACATATTTAGATGCCATGAGTTTTCTGATACAGTATCTAATTATTTCTGGAATGCTTTATTCCTGGTTTTGAGATCTGTTAACTGAAGTTCCCTAGGAGATTCCTTGCTGTTCCAAGAGTACCTTTATGCAAATGTGGCTGCTCCTAATGCATTTTATATTATTTTTACCTCAGGGTATTGTCTTCAAGACCCACCTCCTGAGGTGAACATATGAACCTCCTTTTCTTTCTGTCCAATTAGGTACCTGTGCTCACTGGCCAATTTAAATATATAGTATTTAAATGGGTAATGCTGTTCAGTGAAAAACAGAGAGCAGTAGTAGTTTTAACTCCTTGACATTCAATACTGTGCTACATGTGAGGTTTACTTTGTGCTTTAGCTGATAGTATAATGAATCACTCTGATTAAATGCCACAAAACATTATTCTCTCATGTGCACTGTGGCACGTAATGGGGAATCATTGAGAAAGAAGTGAAAAATTACCACTAAAACCACCGATTACCATGTGTAAAAGACCTGCATACTCTTTAATCCTATGGAAGATCAGTCTGAATTATTTAATATTCTTTTTAAATTGAGACAGACAATGACTAAAGGAAGAAAAATGCATACATGCACTTAAATCTTTTGGATCATTTAGATTCCACCTCTAGATTCTTGCTTTTTCATGCTGAATAGCAAAGGTTGTGAAGTCATTGTCATCACTTACCAGGGATTCAAAATAGTGATGGGATCAGGCAAGGAAAGCACCAGAGGATTTGCAGCTTCAGTTCAGAGCAGATCTGTTTTAAGAACATCAGGAAAAGACTGCTTCATTTGGCAGATGCTTCAGTGGGTGTCTCCTTTGTTGACAGAAACATCTGGCACTGGGTAATGCACAGAGATTGTCAGCTCACTCCTCATTGGATTCATCACTCTCTTTTCTGTCTCCATGAAAAACTGGGAAAGGCTCCTTTCTGAACTGTAAAAAGGGATGCTTTCCTAGTAGGCTGGTGAAAATTCTTTGTGATTTTCCATGCTAATTATACGAACATTTTTGTCCCTTCCCTGCATCTTTAAATCAGCGAAATGAAAAGCAGCAGCTTTCCAATTTTGAACATCTTGGATTTGAGTTGACTAATTTAAATTTCCCAGAGGGGAAAATGGAAATATGCAACCAAGTACAATTGCCAAAGTTTGACTCCTCCTTTCGGCTCAGGCAATAAAAAGGCTCTCCTCCCTTACACTCTGCACCATGTACCTCAGAATTACTCTGCAACAGGAGTCTAGGATTAGGCCATGGCTGACCACAGGCTCTTGCAAATATCCAGTGCTTGGGACTTGTTACAGCATCTTGCTTGAACTTGAACCCATCTGGAGTGGGTTTATTTATAAAACATCTCCTTCTCTCCCTTCTAAACCACTGGTCCCTGTTTTTACAGCTGTAACCCACCCTGGTTCTGTGGGACAGTCCAGAAAACAGAGTCTTAAGGAACTCTTTCTTTAAGTCAATGCATGTGTTGTTCTTTCTGTGTTTGTTTGCTCTTGCCCTATCAGCATTTAAAATCCACAAAAGTGTTCACAAGAGTCATAGTAATTAACACATTGTATAAATATCTTATGTAGAGTTTCTGCCAGCTAGAAAAACTGAGATGTAGGGTGTTTGATCATAATTATTACAAAAGACTTTGCTCTAGCTTTGTTTTTCACCTTGGCCACTCAAAAGGGCTCACAGGTCTCCACACTTAGAGGAGCTGCCTCAGAGGCAGAGATGACATGCATTCAAACCAGAATTGTGATTTCATTCATGGCAGAGGTTGTGACTGCCTTGGCTCTTCTTTGTTTAAAAATAACTTGGTTTTCCTCCTACCTGTGTGGCTTAGAAACCAGACCTCATGAGCTGTGTCCATCTCTGGGATGTCCTGGAGGTCACAGTGTTCTCCCCTACCAAGCCTGTGCCTGACCAACCTGCTCTGGGGCACTCTCAGGGGGTGCTGCACTGGGATAACCCCAAGAATGTAAAAGTCCTCGTTTCCCAGCCCATGCAGCCAAAGAAGGAGTCTGAAATGCGTAGGGTCGGCTTCTCAAGGTTGTTTATTTTTCCTTGTCTACACCATTCTTTCTCTGACCTGCTGAGCTCTGTCTAGCAAGGACGCCATGGCGTTCTGCCTCTTGCCTTGGGTGGTGTTTACATTTTATATCAAAATTTATGTATAGTCTGTTTACAATATTGTGCCAATATCTATCATTTATGTTAGACAGTGTATCTCCACCTTAAACCAAAAGAAAAGTGTCACCATCACACCAAGACAAGGAGGACAAGAAGAAGGCCAGGACACGCCCAAATCCCTCCATCTTGACCCCCTGAACCCCATTCTAAAACCCCCAAATTTCTATTTTTCCACCCTGTGTTAACTCCAACTACCACACTACTCAAACCCTTGTGGCTGTAATTCCTCATACAAAGCTGCCAGCTTTTTCCATGGGCTAAAATCAAAGTCACAGGTGTTTTTGGACTTCATGCCAAGGTCTCTGAGCCTCCTGCCAGGGTCTCGAGACAGCCAGGGCAGCCAGAGGGATGTCCTGGACTCCAACAGGGTGCATGTCCTTCCCTCCCCAAAAGGTTCTGGGGTCCATGGAGTGCTCTGGGGTGTTTCTCTCCCCTTTTCCCCTTTTCTGCCAGACTATCTGCCTGCTGTCAAGGGCAGGCCCTGGTTACCTTTCCTGTGTTTCGAAGTGTTGATTTCTCCCACCAGACCTGACTTTACCTGTCAGATACATGGAGCACTGATTTGTGCCCCGGTATTCACGGGAGAGATAAACTCTTGTGTGTTTTTCCCCATGTCTGCAGGAACCTGTCACTGTCTCTTCACACGTTGTCACCATTTCCAGCCTGACCCCTGCCACTTCCTACAACTGCAGCGTGACCACCTTCAGCCACAACAGCCCCAGCATCCCCACCTTCATCTCTGTTTCCACCATGGGTAAGCAGCACTTCCCTGCTTTCTTCTTCTTTGTCCTCATCCAGCTACATCTGTTCTCCCTTGCTTTCTACAGCTGTTCTTTGTAATCCTGGCCCCAGGTGTTGTTTGTATTATGGAAAGGCTGCCAGATGTGGATGGGATGAGGGAATAGCTTTGGAAAGCCCTTAGAAAAGGAAAAATGTGAACTAGGGGCTCGGTTCTGGACTGGGTTTAAAAATCAGGGACAAAATTTGGGGTGTCAATACTAAACATCAGGTTCAGTCAATACTAACATTGACTGCCTGATGATATTTATGGAGAAAAATGCTTTCTCAGCCAAGCCCAAACAAGAGGAAAATCACATTCATATAAGCTGTTAAGGCTTCCTGCATTCAGCAAAGAAGTAAGAGAGAAGAAAGGCCTCTGCAGGATCCTCAGCAGTCACAGCCTCCTGAGGGAGGATCCCTGGGCATGTCATTTTCCAGAGTAATTAAACATTTTCCACCCAGCATGTTACAAATCCTCAGTTTACTATTTTGCTTCTGGGTCAGAAAAATCATTGATTATTGTTGAAGGACAACTTCAGAGCGGAAATGTGCTTTGGAGACATAGATGATGATGAATATCTGTATTTTGTATTACCTTCACAGTTTTCCCTTGTGTTATAAATGTCAGCTAAAGAGGAAAAAAATAATAAATCAGAACATGTTAAATTTCAACAAAAATGCCAGGGTGAAGGCATTTCCCCAAAGAAATTTTCTAAGAGCAATAGCTGCTAAAACTCTCCCCTTATCTCCTGCGGTAGATTTTTCTCTCTCTAACACTCCAGGCTCTTTGAGATAAGTTAAAAAAAAATAACATTATCAAAACTCAGGGGGAAACAAAACCAAACAAAAATGTCAATGCTTCTGAACTGAATAACTGAGAGTAATTTTCTGTATATGCAGTCACTGAGATGAACCCCAATGTCGTGGTCATCTCCGTGTTGGCCATCCTCAGCATCCTCCTGATTGGACTGCTGCTGGTCACTCTTGTTGTACTCAGGAGAAAAACCTACAAATGGCCAGGTAAGTCCAGATTTATGCTAATTACCAAAAAAAAAAATCAGACACTGACAAACACATCATGTCAATAGTTTCAGCTGAGAATGCTTTTGTGTGGGTGGGTGAGGCTGCTTGAGGTGCTCGTGAACAGGGTGTCTTCAAAAGACCTGTTTTGCTGCTGTTGAGTGTGTCTTCTCCTTCTATCTATTTTCACTCTTGACCTGACTGACAAGCCTCAAGCTTTGTCTCATTTTGAGCTTTGCAGGATCGAGTCCACAACTGCGATCCCATATTGCAAAAGGGTTATGTCAGGGAAAAGAATGATAATTAGGATCTGAGGGAAATGGGCATGAGAAGGACATCAAGGCTCTTTGCAAGTCTTTGATATGGTTTGGAGCAGGAGATTTTTTCCATACATACAGATAACATTTTCTAGAAAGTCTCTCTCTCACCACTTTCCAGTCTGCACCTATCATTTGTACCTGAATATTGAAATTCAGTTTCCTTTTCTAGGCCATCTTACCTGCAAGCCCCATATATCCTGTGTATATATATATATATATAATTGGTTTACCTACTAGTTTTGAAGGCGTCACAGAGTCTTTGTCCTTTTATAATCTGTGTAATATATTTTATGTTCATTTACTGTACTGTGTCAAGAAAGGAAATTATTTAATGTAAAAAAAAAGCTTATGTAAAAAATCTTGTGCTTGACAACCTAGCAGATGCTGCATTTTGTGTGATGTCTTGTCTATGTAGTCCATGCAAGAGATGACCACATCACACCTATGTTCCAAGTTATCTTTTTAAGAAAACATTATATAATTTTTTCCTTTTGCATGTAACTGGCTCTGTGGAAATCCCAGCTAAATTAATTCTCTTTCCTATTTAATTACTGTGCAGCCAGCCCAAAGCTTTTTCTCTTCATCAACTGCTTCTAGCCACAGAAGATAAACACCCCAGGAGGAAATTTAAAAAAATAAATCCAGCAAGAAGCGGCAAGCAATTGCTTGCTTAAATCAAGAAAATAGTCAAGTTAGTTTATAATTCATAGCTGAAAATAATGGAGTTGTGATAAAGAAACAACTAGAATGTTATTCAGGATTTTTTTTCTTTTGCCTAGAGTTATTTTTATTACTTAAAATTACCTATAATTATCCTGTAAAAAGGACACAATTAAACAACTTCTCCTTAGAGTGGGAACAGTGAATATTTAGTATAGAAAGGTAAATATTTAACCTGTGCACTGAGGCCAGTGCCATGCTATGAAAAGCACAAATCTGGACAGAAGATAAGGTCTATTTGAGAATTTCATTCTTTTGAAGCATTTTTAGGCAATTTGATCTCAGGTGGTGTTGAATTTATTGGTTTTAGACAACTACATTAAGGGGTTCTAGTTATGTTAATTACAGATTATCTCAGACCTAGTCAGGGATGTGTTCAGCACTTCCCTGCTGAAGAGTTCTCTGTTAAATCAAGCTCTTTGCAAGTGTTGTGAATCCAGAAATATTAATTTTTACCTAATGGTCTTCCTGGAACAGGGAGTGCGGGGCTGGGACCTTTGTGAATTTTGCATCTTTAGAGAGAGATGGAAAGCTCCCCTATAACTGGTGAGTGTTTGAAGCAAAGCTTATGTTTTTTTCCCCATCTCTGCTTTTTGGCAAATATTATCTGTAATCTTAAAGTGCTTATTTTTTATGTCATTGCTGTCCCTTTTTAGGATAAAACTACTAGACTTGTTAATTTCATATTTTATTCCTTAAATGTATTTTATTTCTTGAATGATGACTGAAGACATGCATTCTGTCACCTGTTATTTTTAGTAGGCAATAATGTATTTGCATGTCAGCCAAGTTGCATAGATGTATTTGGGGAGGATATTTTTTTTCCTCTCTCTTACAGATATATTTCCTAAAATAACACAACTGTAGATAATTGATCTATACATTCATTAGCACTACCATGCATTTGCATCCAGGAGTAAGCTTATTTGTAGATAACTAATTACCAACTGTCTTCATACAGTGCCTTTAATAAATATTTCCTTACATTACAAGACAAGGACAAGCCAACTCAAATATATTCTGTAACTTAATGTTCAGTGCTGTTGAAAAAAACAACCAAAAAAAAAAAAAAAACAAAACCTAAATATATCTTGCTAGTCTAGAAAATCACCTGCAAGAATTGCAGGCACTGATATGGACTGTAAATCATCACTGTCACCATCAGCTGAAGAGAAGTAATTGTACAAAGAAAATCTGTAGGATTAGCTTTTATAGAAGTAAAAGGCTCTGAGAGCTACCTGGCTGGCACCAGTGTGGTCATATCCATCCCTATTTTGATAATAAATGAGTGGTAATGACAGAGCCATGGTTTACTGCTCTGTTATTAACAATCTCTGCAAAAACTTCTCTTTCAAGGCAAGTCCAAACAGAGACACTTAAAAGCATGACATCAGCCCCATTCCAGGAGAAAATATGTGCCTTTGCACCCATGGTCAGCTTTGCTGACAGCCAAGAAGTTGGAAAGAAAAGTTGGTGCACAGGGAACTGCTTTCCATGACCTCACAGGACACAGCCTGCCAGCTGGGCTGGGATTGAATGGACTGACACTGCACCACCACAAGCCTTTTGCTAATAAGCCTGCAAACTGAACTAACAAGCCCAGCAAATCTTGTCAATATCTCACTGTGCTGCTAATTAACTGGGTATTAAACAAGCTTCACTTGCTTGGCTTAGCTTTAATAGCAGCCGGCTTTATGCAGTGCAAATGAAACCATTCCTCAGATTCTCTTGCTTGGACTATATTAATGGCAAAAAAGTCAGAAGATCAAACACTCATGTTAATTAAATAGCCAAGCTTGAATGAAATTATTAAACTAGCAAGAGACGTTATTAAAACCATAAAGGCTTTTATTTTTAATGGGAAGGGAATTAATAGGCTTGGATGTGAAACTGAAGGTTCTTGATGCTTGATTTAGCATATATATGTATGTGTGTGTGTATATGCATATATGTATACATACATGAATTAAGTTATAAAAATATAAACTGAGGAAAGCATTCCTGATTAATAGCACCAAAAACTTTTGTAACTGAAGGCAGTGTGTCCTTACCTTATGGTCTTATTTCTCTGAGAGTGGTTTTATGTGCCTCTTGTCTAATGTCAAGAGCAGATTCACAATCCATCAAGGCAGCCAGGTGGGAAATTTGGCCCTAAAAACAGAGAGAAGGATTGGCTCATTCCAGGGATCCAGTCAGGGAGCCATGGGATATCCACTAGTTCATAAGGGAAGCTCAGCTGACTTTTCAGGATTTGAGCAATCTCTGCATCTCCTTCTTTTAATTAAGTTGTTCCGTATGCCTGAGCAGGATGTGAAACAGTACCTTATTGCTGAAAAGAACAGTATTGCATTTATTAGGCAATCACACACTTTTCATATGTCGAATAAAATAAATTGCTTTGGCTGTCAGAGCTGCTAGTCCGTGAATATAAATCAGTTTGCAAGTATGTTAGCCAGTGATTTGATAAAGTGTGGAAAATTCTTGTGAGGATTGGCAGTGAAAGAAGCCCAGGCTTGAATCATTCCTTCTGCCTCTGCAGGCAAGAGGAAGTAAAAGCCTCACGTGGAGTTTCTCAAAGGAAGGAGAAGTATTCCAGCAACATCATCACTTCTCTCTCCTGAGCCTAATGGAAACCTCTGTGGCACCAGAGAGCTGTTCATGGAAAACCAAATTTCATCCTCAGTCCAGCCCCATAGACACTCTAACACCAAATGAGCCTTAAGGCTCTGATTCTGCAGTTGTGGTGTACAACTGACCAGGAAGGGCTCTCGCCTCTGGCTAAGCCACACAATTCCTGCCAAAGCCTGGGGCAGGTGCCCTGCAGAAACTGCACTGCCTGTTTCCTCTGCAGCAAAACTCATTAAAACTCATAACTTGGAGTTTTCACTGCCTGGGCTGAAGATTTCCTCTCCAGTTGGAAGATTGAGATTAGAGATGATTCAGTTTTGACATGACTTGTTTGTCAGGGAAAACACAGTATCTACCAACTTCATAAGAGCCAAGGGTACTGAACAAGGAAATTTAAATTTGTATTTCCTCTTTAGACCAGCTGCAGAAGGGTGGTATCACTTTTAAGGCAGCAGATTCTCTGATGGGGAAAAAACACACTGAGGGTGTATTTGACAAAAAAAAAAAAAAAAAAAAAAAAAAAAAAAAAAATTACTGGAGCCAAATTTGTTAAAGTTTCATGAGTTTTTAATATTTGCAAAGTACCAGAAGCCCATTTCACCAATAGGTAGAACGGGCCTGAGTGAGTTTCCTGAATTAATGCACAGCAGAACCTGGTAAACAGCTTGCAAATACAGAAGTTTAGAATGATTTTGTACTCATATTTCCTTTAGCCACAGTAAAATCTGCTGTGGATAGTTATTCACAGAAAGTACAGTTAGAAGAACTGTTCAAGCAATGTTTAGGTGAAAACCTAGGAAAGAATTTAAAGCACTCTGCAAAGTGTTATTGGGATGCCTTGTGAAATCTGACTCAATAGAGGGTATTAAGAGATGTTTTTAGCATCTGAATTTATCTCTGATATCCACAGGATCACTTGCAGGAACAAACATGGGAGATTATGTGTTTGATAAAAAACAAACCATATCAGTACTGAATATCTCAAAACACTGAAAATAGGTTTAATACCACCTATGCAATGGCTGGAAATCTGTCAAAGATATTTTACTACCCACTTTACTCTCTAAAATTAGGAGTAACAGGCCTGAATCAATATGATAAGACATACTTATTTTGACCATATAATTTTGTGTTGGATAGCTGAAAATCCTGCAGGTTGAGGAGTAAAAATTCTAGGGATGCTAATAACATTCTTAGGAAGTAAGTAAGAAGTAGGGTTTATGGGTTTAGCTGATTTTTAAAATAGAATTTGCTGATCTCCTGATTTCTGTTTGTCTTACTAACTCTCCTCACTTTTTCATCTTTATGTATGTTATTTATTAATGCTCACAGGCGTAGAAGTGTATTTGCTTTCCTAACTCTGCTACCCTCATGCCTTTGGACTGATTATCTTTTGGCATTTTATGTTAATCCTTGGTAAGTGATTTACTTGTTTTTCCGTATGCAATGTGTAAACACTGTGAGTTTCTATGACATGACATGAAAAATGTGTGGTACTTTTGTTCTCAAATGGGTCAAAAGCTTTTGGAGATACAATTTTCTTGTACTTGGACTGGCGAGGATGTGGGTATCAAAGTATTTGCTACCCTGCTTCATCTGGTTTGTCTGTTTATTCTCCAACCCATTTTGGTATTAAAAAGCTAATTTTACAGTGTTCATCATATCCATCTCATTGCTGTCTTTGCAACTTTTGCTGCTTCATGATAAGTCCTGGCTTCTTCTGTCCTGGTTATTTACATGTTCATTGCCTGGCACTGACTTTTGCTGCTGTTGTTCTATTACTAAAATTGCTTGATCATGCCCCACCTGTTTGGTGTGTGATGTCAAATACATTTGTTTTTCAAAGGTGCTATTTTGCCCTCCTGATGTCAGTAAAATTTTGCTTTTGAAAAAAGCAGTTCACTGAGAATGAATACCACTAGAAGTCCCAAAGAGTAAAACCAGAGTCATTGTGTGCACATCTCATTTTGTATATTTAATACTTTAGTCTGTAAATAATTTATCAGGATTTAGTAAGCACCTAATTGTTTTCTTGAAAATACCTAACAAAGCCACATGTGTACTTAGAAACAGAATTGTTTTACAAGCCTTTTAACAAATAATTATAATTGACAATGACCCAAAATTTCCTAATTCATAAAAAGAAACTTAAGTTTCTGATGGTCTTGGGTCCAAGTTTTAGGGTTTTACAAAAAAGGCACTTCTGAGATTAAGATTTTATTTCCCAAGCATTTTCCCTGGTCTTAGTATGAGGCACCAAAGCCCTGGCAGGCAGACATCAACATCTTCAGCAGAGGGATTTTTGAGACTGATTTTCCTTGAGTGGGTCTGTAGAAAAACCCATCCAAATTTTCAGTGGGCCTAGAAATGTAAGTAAAGAAAGGTCCATTTCTTCTGTGAGGAAAAAAAACAAACGTGTTCTCCACACACACCCTGCTGAGGAGCATGTGGGGGTCTTCCCCAACCTCTCCAAGGATTATATTATGTTACTGATATGATATGATGATATATGATATATGATACATGATATATGATATAATATTGTAGTATAGTATAGTATATTTATTGTATTATATATTATATTTATATATTATTATATTTATTATATTATATTATTGGAGCTTGTCTGGTATAAACTCAGCTAACTCTCAAGCTGCACAGAGGTGGAGGGTCTGATGCCTTGTGAAGGCTGCCCTAGAGCAGAGGCTGGACAGAGTTAAAAGAATAAAGCAGGGATTTATTAAAAGGCTTCAATGGGCAGCACCAGAGCCCAGCCAGAGCTGCACCCAAGATGGACCAAAATGGTCCCAAAATTCACGAGCGCTCCCGGGGGCTCTCACTGGGATCAGTTCTGCTCCATTTGCACCTTGGAGTTCATTGTCCCATTCCAGCTTTAGCCCAGGCAGTCCCATCCTGATTGTTTTTCTCTCTCCAGCCCACGTTGTTTGTGCTCCTGGGCCTGAGATTTGGATCATTTGTCCTTGGTGCCCAGCTGGAGAAGGAATTGTTTTGTCTCCCTGCTCTGTGCAGAGAGCTCACCATCCCCTAATATGAAGCCCAGACCCACACACTAACGCAGCACAGAATCTGAAAAATACCAAAGCTAAAACCTGAGGCATCAGGTCAGGCAAGCAGGTGATTATTTTGGAGGTCACACTGAGCTCTCTTAGCTGGTCAAGAAGCCCAGAGTGGCCGCTGTCAATGGCAAAAATGTTGTCATATTTTGTCCCTCTGCCTTTTTTCTTTTATTATGCATTAACTCACTTTCTTTCTTCAGAGGTTCCCCCTTCAATCAATCTATCTATTTCAGTCTAGATGATTAAGTTTACAGGAGCTGAAGTGGAATGAGATGAGATTAATCCCTCTCTTTATATTTTAATATGTAGACTAAATGGAACAACAGATGAAACACCAGCTAGTGTTTCAATTGTTTTTGTTTTGCACATAAGCTGTTTTAAAATATTTATGAACATTCAGGAAACAATTGCACTGCTAAGAAGCAAAGGCCTCTTGAGACTATCAAAGCACACAAAATTCTTGCTGAGAAATGTTTGTCAGTCATTTGTTTTATTGCCTCTTGAAATGTTCCTTGGAGAAGTGTTCTTAGAAACATTCCCACCATAAAGGGCATTTAGCTATTTTTTTTTCTTTTAAAATTAATTCTTATGTGCCTGACATTAAGAGGTTTACCATAGTCACAGGGGACAGAGGTGTGTTGAATAATTTAGTGTAATTAACTTTAAGATTTCACTGGAAAAAAAAAATTTCAAAATGGAAAATACATACTACTACTTTAGATGTACAGTACATATGAATGTACAGATAACATGATAGACTGAAGAGGTTTATAATATTTAATCCCCACATTCATATAAAGCTGGTATTGCCATAGCTCTTGTTAATTCTGCAGGCAAATATCCCCAACTAAATGAAAATGTACTTTGAAAAAAATAACAAAATTACTATGTGTTGTGGCTGCTCCAGAAACTAAATATTCTGTAAAATTTAATTTTGGAAAGTAGCCCTTTATTGTAACTTCCAAACTTAACAGGGTAGAAAAATAAAAATACCCTGCTTTTTAATATTTCTTTTGGTATAATGTCATTATTTCTAATTTAACAGTCTTGTCCTTTCATTTAATAATTGAAGCCATGAACCAAATGATCTAGACAATAATTTTCATATCACCATGAAATTAAAAATAACATCATTATAATATGAAAAATGAATGGATATTGTTTAATGCCCAGGAATTAAAAATTCACACTACTAAAATTCCTTCTGAGTAATCAAGAATCACACAAAGCAAGCTTGCTTTGTGTATTTAATCTTATTGTTGCTTGACTTCTTTGTGGCAACAACAAAATGAACACACAGCCCCCTCCAAAAAACCACACCATTGTAGCTGGGGTAGGGCAGTTCTCAAGTCCAGTCCTTTGGGTTTTACTGCTTAACACACTCAGAAAGCTGCTCACAACTGTTGCTAGTGAATTACATCGGCCACAAATCATTGTTTTACATGACTGGCACAATTATCTCCAGCTGCTTAAAGTCAATTACAATTTCTAAGGTTTAAGCTTGAGTCCCGCTGAGGTCAGCAGGATATTTGCCATTGTCTTCATTTATCATCATAAGCAGGTTATGAGACGGGCCATTTCCATTTTCCTTCACCTTTCCTGAATTTGCAAGTGGTGGTCTTGTCCCTTTACCCAACAGATGCTTCTCATTCCCAGTGTTGACATCCAATTTTCCAAGCTCAACCAGGCTCAGGTCCTGGGGATTCAGCCCCAGCCCACCCAGAGCCAATGGGTCAGGATTCATAGGGCAGCCATGGGCACAGATTTTCCTGTGCTTTTCCAGGATTTTCCACAGATGTGCTTTTTCTGGGCACAGATTTTCCCTTTCAATGGCAGGTCATTCTCAGAGCCACAGAATGGGATATGCCTCCCACTGGACTCAACAGAAATGCTGCTATCAGCCTTAAATTGTCCACCAGTTATTATCACCAATCTCCTCCTGAGTATGATGAAAAAAAAAATACACTTTCTTAAACCAGTGCTGTCTTTGAATAAAGGTTGTACAAATGTTTAATGAATGAAAAACACATCTTTTTTTTTTTTTTTTTTTTTTTTTTACAGGAGTAAAAATGGATTAAAGAAGAGAAAGCTGACCAAGTAGGTAACTTTTTTGATATTTAAAGGAATAAGTCTTAGACTTATAGGCATTATGGAGTACATGGCACAGTGGTATTTCAGTTACAAATACGGAAAACTTCTTGATAGACATATCCCAAGGGAGATACCTGAAAGCAGAAAACAAACAATAATTGTACAAAAGCAGTTCTGCTCAACAGATTGTAGTAAAACATACAAAATTAGTCATCAGGGGAAAGATCAATTATCCAATTTAGTGATTTCAACTGAGCTTATCCTTAGTTAAAAATTGCAAATGTTGAAAAAACTGGGATGCATTTGTTTGTAGTGATATTTCCCTATTGACATGGGGCTCTCATTACAATTGTTGCTAGAACATTAGATCATTAATGCTGGTGGGTAAACAGGAGTAATTAAGTGGTGATAAGACAGGTTCCTTTGGGCATATTGCCTCCAAGTAAATGAGAAGATTACTGTGTACATGCTTCAGTAGCTTGTAAATTAGAGTATGATAATTAGGTGAGGGAAGCTGTTTACCTGTGTTTCCTTACTCAGAGTGTCAGCCTAATTATTTCTGCGTTATGTTCAGGGGTTGTGCCTGACTAACAAATAGATCTCACCTGGCAAAAAAAAAAAAGTGTGGAAAGATGGGAGTCATTAAATCAAGGCTAATTTGTACCTACTAAAGCTCTCCATGGTTTTGTATAGTTATATACCACCTTTTTTTAGCCAACATCTCTCTGGGAAAAGAGTTTGACTTATAATTACAAATGTGTGCAGTTGTCAAAGCCAGCAGAGAAAGCTGCCAGGGCAGTGGCATCCAAAATGTAATACATCCAGCATTTGGTGGCCCTGAACCACAAGATTTGTCCTCATTTCTTTCTGGCATTAACAGCTGCAAATAGATATTTATGACTTGAGAGTATTCTGGTGGAAGGAAATGAAAAGTACTACAAAAAAATCAGATTTTCTCTCTATTTTTGTTTTAAAGCCCTGTCCAGCTGGACGATTTTGATGGATACATCAAGGATATGGCCAAAGACTCAGATTATAAATTTTCTCTGCAATTTGAGGTAAATCTCTGAGGATTCTGCCCTCTGCTACTTGCCCAGATTAGCTTTTACAAGATGTTAAGGCTGCATGGTGTGCTCCTGTGTGCTCTGTGTTGGTCGATCTGTGGCGTTGCTGGGTGGGCCAGCTTCACTTCCTCCTCTGCAGAATTTAGAAGTGGAGCTTGGTGTTGTTAAATCCTACATTTTGAACTGATTGGAGTGGCTTCTCACGTTCAATCTGAGTTAAATGTCAGAAAAAAACACACTTGCTTAAAGTTTAGGGCATGCTGGCAACCTGAATTGAATTTGGGATTTTAATGGCTTTATTTTATATATTTAATGTCCTTAACTTGAGAGGAAGCACTGAAATCAGGAAGTAGCATCAGAAATCTCTATAAGAGCAAGGACATTTCTCTAAGACAGGTGCATTTCTCTAAGTTCAGGTGCATTCTCTTAATTACTCTAAATTTAAAGTCAATTTAATAGTATAAAACCAAAAGCCCATCCCTATCCTGGGGCTGTTTCCCAAAATTTAAACATGGAAAGGCGGTGGGGAGGACTCTCAGGGTGTTTCCATGATCCATCCTGACAGCAAATTCCCCTGATGCATCATATATACTACTAATATATACTACTATTTACTACTATATAGTAGTAAATATACTACCACCAAATGTAACTACTGAAGGTGATGACTAGAAAGATCTTCTAAGCATTTCCCCAAGACTGAAAGCCACTTGAGGGTTTCAAGAAACCTCTTTAAGGAAGGCAGGTGACCACCACAGAAATAATTTAGCAAGCCCCTGGTTTGACAGCATTTTTGGTTTGATGGTGAGTGTGGGTAGAGAGGAGCAATTCTGAGTCCAGCTGGGATGGCAGCAGTGTGTTGGCAACATCAGGAGGAGAAACCCCAACAGTGCCCTCCAGCTGCTTGGAGCCCAACTCAGAGGCATCAAAAAGGGACAATCTATCACCCTGCTGTCAATTTATAAAGTGATGTATGAGCATTTTCTGTCTGCTACCTGCCACAAGTAATCACAAGGACTTATTCTCTGAGTGTTTTTGAGGCTGGCCTTGACATTTCCCTTTCTGTTGTCTCAGGAGCTAAAACTGATTGGGCTGGACATCCCCACTTTGCTGCTGATCTCCCCATGAATCGCTGTAAGAATCGCTACACAAATATCCTGCCATGTAAGTACAACACACACTAAATCCTGCTAAAGCCCCTAGAGAGGGAAAGAAGAGTTCCAATAAGAAAATTGGAGAATCGGGAGATTTTCTAAGACTGGGAAAAGTGTGTTCTACAATCCTGCTCTTACAGAGAGCCAGGCAAGAGTGGTTTTTATGTTAGCTTTGAATAGATGTAGCTGCCTGGGAATGTTTGTCATGGCAAGAGTTTGGAGGTGAGAAACACGAGGGGTTTTATGCTACTGAGTAGTGTTACTGTATTTCTTTTATGATTTTAATGAAGCCTAAGGGAGCCCAAATGGACAGCACTTGGAGGAAGTGTTTGCAGAACACTAAGGATGGTGTGTCCATGTTTGCTGAAGCAAACATTGATCTCTTAGTCAATACAAGAATTTCCTGGTTTTTAGTAGATTATTTTTGGCCATTCCTATAGGGCTAATTTAAATTTTGCCGAGCTGGAGATGAGTGCCATATTTCAGAGGCGATTTTTTTCTAGTTTCTGTTTCCTTTTGCAGATGATTTCAGTCGTGTCCGCTTAGTCTCAATGAATGAGAGGAAGGATCTGACTACATTAATGCCAACTACATCCCTGTGAGTACAGAGGTCTGGTCAGTGTGGAGTTCAGTGTCCTGCACACCAGGCAGAGCTGGGCCCTTGAAAATAGCACAATATTTCCTGGAAGCTCAGTCATGTTCTCAGCATCTCCTTCAGCTTCCAAATATTTTGCCTACAGAGAACAACCACCAAAAAAAAAAAAAAAAAAAAAAAAAAAAAAAAAAAAGGGGTGGGAGAATTTTAGTAAATTTTGCTGCAGTAGCTGTGAATCTTTGTGAGACTTTGATTGGACTGGTAGGAAAACGAGCAGGAAATGTTAAAATTATTCAATGGCCTTTTAAGGTAGTGAGGTGAAGCATAGATGTTCAAATGAGAATTTTTTATAGATTTCCACTGCACATGGAAGAAAAGAGTTAAGGCAGGCACTCCAAATGCACATAATGCACACAGCCCAGATGGTGTGTGGAGAGAACTTCTGCTTTCGGGCTCCTCTCTGGTGCTTTCCCTGCGCCTCCCTGCACCTGGCAGAGAGCAGCCACTTCCTGGGGGTAGCACCCACGGTTTCAGGATAATTGCAGTGTACACAGAGCTGTAGGCAAATATTTTGACACTGGGGGTTGCCTAAAAACTCATCAGCTCTCTCCACTCTCCACTGAGCTGGTGCAGTCACTTAGGCTTATCCCTGCCACTGCCACAAGGGTTTGCTCCTCTGGTACCTCTGCTGTGGCTCAGTGAGGCTGGAGAGCAAGAATTCCATGGGTTATTCTGCACGGAGAGGAGGCAGGGCACTACTGCAGCCCTTTAGGAAGAGGTCTTTGACAGAAAAATGAATATTTTTGCAGTCTGGCTGTAGATAGAGCTGACTCTGGCTGTGCTGGAGAGAGCTGAGCCAGCGTTATGGAGAAAGGAGGAGCCCTTGGATGAGTCACTGGAGCCACTTCTCTGTCACTTTGGCATTGCCCAAGTGTGCAATGTTGAGCCCAGTGTCTGTGCATGGCTTCTCTGTGTCCAGGGCACAAACCTCAGCACTTACACTGCAAGAATCAGGAAAGAAAAACCTTCCAGGATTCACAGCCCAGGAAACTTCCGTCGCACGGGATTGTGGCTAACAGGATCCTAAGCAGCAGTCAGTCCCTTTCAGATGTTCAGTTCTGCTTTTCATCTCTTTAGTTCTGCTTATAGCACAGTGCTGACCATGGAAACTGGGATAAACACGTGATGTTAATGCTGTTCTTTTTCTGATAATCAGTGCTCCACTGATTCCCTGCCTCCAAACACAGGAACCAGGGGGGATCTGTCCCTGTGCTAACTGGGATTTGTCACTTAGGTCAGACACAGCCCACGCTGAACAGCCAGCAAATTCTGTGTAGTGCAAAAAAACTGGGATTGAGCTCATTTGCAGAGATGTCTGGAGGAAGCCATTAGTGGAAAATGCTCCCAAATCACAAATAATTTTATGATCCACATACAGTGTTGGCACAAAAATTGCCTAATTTGCATGGGATCATGCTGTGTGTTGGATATATTTTTTGCTTTTGCTAGGAATATGAAATAACTTTCCAGATGCAGTTCTGATGATATAATCTCAGCAAATATGGTTATAGCAGATGCCAAAAGGGTCATTCTGTGGTCTTTTATTATAGTCCTTATAACAGTTTTTTGGTTTTGGAGAGGTGAAAGGAATCTTTCCAACTAAAATCATGCTGATAGGAAAGGGAATACATGCATATGAAGCATCTTAGTATCTGTTAAGAGCATTGACTCAGCATCTTCTCTATTATTTGAAGCAGAATTATAATTAATATTTTATTAATTTAAGGCCTCATGACATAAACACGTGTGTATAATCCTATTCCATTGACACCAATGACTGAAAATCACCCCAGACACTGCTTGGGATGAGCAGCCTGGGCATCTATAACTGGTTTTGTGCCTATAACTAAACAAACCCTAAAATTACATAATCTGAAAGGAGCTGTAACATTCTTTTAAGGTTCTTGCTACTTGCTTTTTTAATGTTGCCTTTTCTGCTCTCTGTGCAAATGATTCATGTGGAAACAGCTTCATCTGCTGTATTTTAGATTGCTTAGACTTTGGGAATATCAAAATCCAGCAAAAGTTGTCATCAGAAAATAAATACAAAAAAATTATTTCTTTATATTAAAAATCACTTTTAGAAGTACAAATTGGATTTGGGCAAACTAAAAAAAATCGAAAAATACATGTTCTGAAGCAGTAACCATGCTGGTAAGCAGGACTTATCTCTTTGTCTTTTAGGGTTATAATTCACCCCAGGAATACATTGCAACCCAAGGACCACTGCCAGAAACTAGGAATGATTTTTGGAAGATGGTTCTCCAGCAAAAATCACAAATTATTGTTATGCTGACTCAGTGCAATGAGAAAAGACGGGTATGTAACAAAATCTTCTATGTGATGTAAAAGAAACCACCCTGAAAAAGAGCTCTTTTCTGCTGAGTCAATGTCTTTGCATTGTTTCTGATCACAAGGCAGCATCACAACCAGCCCTGGAATGGCATCTACCTTCCCATTTCAGGACCTTCTTGGATGTTCCCTGATGTTCCCTGACTTCCTTTGACCTTCTTTGTCCCTTCTTGACCTTCTTGGAACTTCCCTGACTTGCTGCACCTTCTCTGACCTTTTATGACCTTCTTTGACCCCTTCTTACTTTTTCTGATCTTCTTTGACCTTCTTTGACCTGCTTTGACTTTTCTTGATTTCTTCGACATTCTTTGACTTTCCCTGACCTTCTTCAACCTTCCTTGATTTTCCTTGAGCTTCCCTGACCTTCTCTGACCTGCTTTTACCTGCTTTGATGTTGACTTTCCCTGACTTCCTTTAACCTCCTTAACCTTTCTTTAACCCTCTTTGAACTTCTTTGATGACTCCTGATCTTCTTCAACCTTTTCTGCCCTTTTACCTCCCCTGACCTTGTTATGAAGCCTCCCTCTTACCACAGGAGGGACTGAGGGAGCTGGGACTCTCCATCCTAGAGAAGAGAAGGCTCCAGGGGTCTTGTCACTGTGTACAAATTCCTGATGGGAGGGAATGGAGATGAGAGACTCCTTTAGTGGTGACTTGCCCGGTGACAAGTCAAGAGGTGAAGTGCACAAATTAAAAAACCACATTAAATTCTTTCTGAAGTCAGGAAACACTTATTTTACTCTGAGGGGGACTGAGCACTGGGACAGATGCTCCCAGAGCTTGTGGAGTCTCCATCCTTGGAGATATTCCAAAGTCACCTGGACATGGTCTAGAGCTGGCTCTAGGTGACATTGCTTGAGAGGAGAGGGGTTTGAACGAGGTGACCTCCAGGGGTCCTTCCAACTTCAGGCCTTCTGTGATTCTGCACTTTTAAGTTTAGGTAATTCTGAAATGCAAGTTCTATCTTTACGTTTCCCCTTTATATTGTAATAGAAATATTTAGAATATAATTTGGGGGGTTTATATGGACATTCTCTTTCCCAGCATTTTGCTCCGTTTAGAGCTTTTATATCAGGAAGAATAACAAAAGGCACTCTGTCTGTTCTTCACTGCACTAAAGCTGCCCTTCTGAAAACTGATAAATAGCTGATGGCCACAATTAAATGGGAATGGTCAGGCTGGAAGTCATTGCAGCATAAACTTCCTCTTATTGCAGCAGCAATTGAACAGTGCTGTAGGCATTGCTAAACCTGAGGTTCTGTGTCCTTTTGTGTGTATCTTTTTGTATAAAAATACAAAAATGCCTGGATTTACCTCCATTTCAGGTGAAATGTGACCACTACTGGCCTTTCACAGAAGATCCTGTTGCATATGGGGATATCACAGTGGAGATGCTGAGCGAGGAGGAGCACACGGACTGGGTGTACCGCAGCTTCCGGATCAGCTACGTGAGTGAAACCCTTTGCCAAAGGAGTGATTTCAGTCCAGCTTTTTCTTTAACTTTTGTCCATTTCTGTCACTCAGCAGGAAACAGCTAAGAGAGATAGATCATTGTCTTACATCACTTTGCACAGGCAAATGACAAAATCACAAAACTTTCTCCTAAAATCATCTGTAAATTTATCTGCAAAGTGCAAGGCTGAAACAAAAATAGTACTAGAGCTCTGAACACTTCTGTGTACCAATAATTACTGACACAAATGTATGAATTTCTTCTTTTCTACATCTCACACACATCTTCTTGCTATAAATTATTCAAAACTTGAAAATAGCAGTGGAAGAATTGAAAATGCTTTTCAAAAGGGCAATTCTGAGGAGCTTTCATTTGGACACCACATACTCCCACATTTGTTTCAATACTTTATAGGTAGACATTATTATTGCAGAATTGCCCTTTTGAAAAGCATTTTCAATTCTTCCACTGATATTTTCAAGTTTTGAATAATTTATAGCAAGAAGATGTGTGTGAGATGTAGAAAAGAAGAAATTCATACATTTGTTGTCAGTAATTATTGGTACCACAGAAGTGTCCAGAGCTCTAGTACTATTTTTGTTTCAGCCTTGCACTTTGCAGATAAATTTAGAGATGATTTTAGGAGAAAGTTTTGTGATTTTGTCATTTGCCTGTGCAAAGTGAATGTAAAGACAATGATCTATCTCTCTTAGCTGTTTCCTGCTGAGTGACAGAAATGGACAGAAGTTAAAGAAAAAGCTGGACTGAAATCACTCCTTTGGCAAAGGGTTTCACTCACGTAGCTGATCCGGAAGCTGCGGTACACCCAGTCCGTGTGCTCCTCCTCGCTCAGCATCTCCACTGTGATATCCCCATATGCAACAGGATCTTCTGTGAAAGGCCAGTAGTGGTCACATTTCACCTGAAATGGAGGGAAATCCAGGCATTTTTGTATTTTTATACAAAAAGATACACACAAAAGGACACAGAACCTCAGGTTTAGCAATGCCTACAGCACTGTTCAATTGCTGCTGCAATAAGAGGAAGTTTATGCTGCAATGACTTCCAGCCTGACCATTCCCATTTAATTGTGGCCATCAGCTATTTATCAGTTTTCAGAAGGGCAGCTTTAGTGCAGTGAAGAACAGACAGAGTGCCTTTTGTTATTCTTCCTGATATAATAGCTCTAAACGGAGCAAAATGCTGGGAAGAGAATGTCCATATAAACCCCCCAAATTATATTCTAAATATTTCTATTACAATATAAAGGGGAAACGTAAAGATAGAACTTGCATTTCAGAATTACCTAAACTTAAAAGTGCAGAATCACAGAAGGCCTGAGGTTGGAAGGACCCCTGGAGGTCACCTCGTTCAAGCCCCTCTCCTCTCAAGCAATGTCACCTAGAGCCAGCTCTAGACCATGTCCAGGTGACTTTGGAATATCTCCAAGGATGGAGACTCCACAAGCTCTGGGAGCATCTGTCCCAGTGCTCAGTCCCCCTCAGAGTAAAATAAGTGTTTCCTGACTTCTGAAAGAATTTAATGTGGTTTTTTAATTTGTGCACTTCACCTCTTGACTTGTCACCGGGCAAGTCACCACTAAAGGAGTCCCTCATCTCCATTCCCTCCCATCAGGAATTTGTACACAGTGACAAGACCCCTGGAGCCTTCTCTTCTCTAGGATGGAGAGTCCCCAGCTCCCTCAGTCCCTCCTGTGGTAAGAGGGGAGGCTTCATAACAAGGTCAGGGGAGGTAAAAGGGCAGAAAAGGTTGAAGAAGATCAGGGGTCATCAAAGAAGTTCAAAGAGGGTTAAAGAAAGGTTAAGGAGGTTAAAGGAAGTCAGGGAAAGTCAACATCAAAGCAGGTAAAAGCAGGTCAGAGAAGGTCAGGGAAGCTCAAGGAAAATCAAGGAAGGTTGAAGAAGGTCAGGGAAAGTCAAAGAATGTCGAAGAAATCAAAGAAAAGTCAAAGCAGGTCAAAGAAGGTCAAAGAAGATCAGAAAAAGTAAGAAGGGGTCAAAGAAGGTCATAAAAGGTCAGAGAAGGTGCAGCAAGTCAGGGAAGTTCCAAGAAGGTCAAGAAGGGACAAAGAAGGTCAAAGGAAGTCAGGGAACATCAGGGAACATCCAAGAAGGTGCTGAAATGGGAAGGTAGATGCCATTCCAGGGCTGGTTGTGATGCTGCCTTGTGATCAGAAACAATGCAAAGACATTGACTCAGCAGAAAAGAGCTCTTTTTCGGGGTGGTTTCTTTTACATCACATAGAAGATTTTGTTACATACCCGTCTTTTCTCATTGCACTGAGTCAGCATAACAATAATTTGTGATTTTTGCTGGAGAACCATCTTCCAAAAATCATTCCTAGTTTCTGGCAGTGGTCCTTGGGTTGCAATGTATTCCTGGGGTGAATTATAACCCTAAAAGACAAAGAGATAAGTCCTGCTTACCAGCATGGTTACTGCTTCAGAACATGTATTTTTCGATTTTTTTTTAGTTTGCCCAAATTCAATTTGTACTTCTAAAAGTGATTTTTAATATAAAGAAATAATTTTTTTGGTATTTATTTCTGATGACAACTTTTGCTGGATTTTGATATTCCCAAAGTCTAAGCAATCTAAAATACAGCAGATGAAGCTGTTTCCACATGAATCATTTGCACAGAGAGCAGAAAAGGCAACATTAAAAAAGCAAGTAGTAAGAACCTTAAAAGAATGTTACAGCTCCTTTCAGATTATGTAATTTTAGGGTTTGTTTAGTTATAGGCACAAAACCAGTTATAGATGCCCAGGCTGCTCATCCCAAGCAGTGTCTGGGGTGATTTTCAGTCATTGGTGTCAATGGAATAGGATTATACACACGTGTTTATGTCATGAGGCCTTAAATTAATAAAATATTAATTATAATTCTGCTTCAAATAATAGAGAAGATGCTGAGTCAATGCTCTTAACAGATGCTAAGATGCTTCATATGCATGTATTCCCTTTCCTATCAGCATGATTTTAGTTGGAAAGACTCCTTTCACCTCTCCAAAACCAAAAAACTGTTATAAGGACTATAATAAAAGACCACAGAATGACCCTTTTGGCATCTGCTATAACCATATTTGCTGAGATTATATCATCAGAACTGCATCTGGAAAGTTATTTCATATTCCTAGCAAAAGCAAAAAATATATCCAACACACAGCATGATCCCATGCAAATTAGGCAATTTTTGTGCCAACACTGTATGTGGATCATAAAATTATTTGTGATTTGGGAGCATTTTCCACTAATGTCTTCCTCCAAACATCTCTGCAAACGAGCTAAATCCCAGTTTTTTTGCACTACACAGAATTTGCTGGCTGTTCAGCGTGGGCTGTGTCTGACCTAAGTGACAAATCCCAGTTAGCACAGGGACAGATCCCCCCTGGTTCCTGTGTTTGGAGGCAGGGAATCAGTGGAGCACTGATTATCAGAAAAAGAACAGCATTAACATCACGTGTTTATCCCAGTTTCCATGGTCAGCACTGTGCTATAAGCAGAACTAAAGAGATGAAAAGCAGAACTGAACATCTGAAAGGGACTGACTGCTGCTTAGGATCCTGTTAGCCACAATCCCGTGTGACGGAAGTTTCCTGGGCTGTGAATCCTGGAAGGTTTTTCTTTCCTGATTCTTGCAGTGTAAGTGCTGAGGTTTGTGCCCTGGACACAGAGAAGCCATGCACAGACACTGGGCTCAACACTGCACACTTGGGCAATGCCAAAGTGACAGAGAAGTGGCTCCAGTGACTCATCCAAGGGCTCCTCCTTTCTCCATAACGCTGGCTCAGCTCTCTCCAGCACAGCCAGGGTCAGCTCTATCTACAGCCAGACTGCAAAAATATTCATTTTTCTGTCAAAGACCTCTTCCTAAAGGGCTGCAGTAGTGCCCTGCCTCCTCTCCATGCAGAATAACCCATGGAATTCTTGCTCTCCAGCTCTCACTGAGCCACAGCACAGAGGTACCAGAGGAGCAAACCCTTGTGGCAGTGGCAGGGATAAGCCTAAGTGACTGCACCAGCTCAGTGGAGAGTGGAGAGAGCTGATGAGTTTTAGGCAACCCCCAGTGTCAAAATATTTGCCTACAGCTCTGTGTACACTGCAATTATCCTGAAACCGTGGGTGCTACCCCCGGGAAGTGGCTGCTCTCTGCCAGGTGCAGGGAGGCGCAGGGAAAGCACCAGAGAGGAGCCCGAAAGCAGAAGTTCTCTCCACACACCATCTGGGCTGTGTGCATTATGTGCATTTGGAGTGCCTGCCTTAGCTCTTTTCTTCCATGTGCAGTGGAAATCTATAAAAAATTCTCATTTGAACATCTATGCTTCACCTGACTACCTTAAAAGGCCATTGAATAATTTTAACATTTCCTGCTCGTTTTCCTACCAGTCCAATCAAAGTCTCACAAAGATTCACAGCTACTGCAGCAAAATTTACTAAAATTCTCCCACCCCTTTTTATTTTTTTCTTTCTTTTTTTTTTTTTTGGTGGTTGTTCTCTGTAGGCAAAATATTTGGAAGCTGAAGGAGATGCTGAGAACATGACTGAGCTTCCAGGAAATATTGTGCTATTTTCAAGGGCCCAGCTCTGCCTGGTGTGCAGGACACTGAACTCCACACTGACCAGATCTCTGTACTCACAGGGATGTAGTTGGCATTAATGTAGTCAGATCCTTCCTCTTCATTCATTGAGACTAAGCGGACACGACTGAAATCATCTGCAAAAGGAAACAGAAACTAGAAAAAAATCGCCTCTGAAATATGGCACTCATCTCCAGCTCGGCAAAATTTAAATTAGCCCTATAGGAATGGCCAAAAATAATTACTAAAAACCAGGAAATTCTTGTATTGACTAAGAGAGCAATGTTTGCTTCAGCAAACATGGACACACCATCCTTAGTGTTCTGCAAACACTTCCTCCAAGTGCTGTCCATTTGGGCTCCCTTAGGCTTCATTAAAATCATAAAAGAAATACAGTAACACTACTCAGTAGCATAAAACCCCTTGTGTTTCTCACCTCCAAACTCTTGCCATGACAAACACTTCCAGGCAGCTACATCTATTCAAAGCTAATATAAAAA